AGCCAATTAGAGCCAAGTTCGGCTTCGATACAGTTTTTGGGTCGAGCTGTGACAAATTTCGGCCCGACATGGCCCTGACCATGTAAACACATCAGTCCAAAATCACGTCTAACTATTGCCTTCTTCAAATTACGATCCATTCAAATGATGGAGTCTATATCATTTGTAATCTCTGTGCGGAAACTGTAGATGAACAAATTGCATCCCCCTTAAAATAAGTGTAGTTCGTGGACAACGACTGGCACAATTCTTTTGTGGTATTCTTACTTGTTTTCTCCAAATGTACCTGTTTCTTAAGGAATGTAGGTCCTGTCATGACAGAAAAATCAAAAATTGGAATGGTCATCGGAAGACATCAATATCAAAAAGGGGTTGCCATCTAGATATAAAACATATTAAAAATATATTGATTCTCAAGCGATTGAGAGAGATGTCCCATTTGATACTGATAGTACTGGTCTGAACTCGGCTCTTGTTCGGCCCCAACCATATAAACACACAAGAGATATTCTCCTGTTAATAGGTAGAATGAGCAATAGTTTGCTCCGATAAAATGTTGCTGTGTAACCGAGCAATATTTTCCTGTAGGTGTTAATAGTGAGCTTCTTAGGGAAACACAAAATGTCTGGCTTCAAAGTTTATTGTGAGTTGCATACTATAGTTTCTTACTGGAGACAGTGATACTGGTGAAACGTTTCTAAAAGATATAGTACTAGATGATACAAATCATCAACAAAGCCTACAAAACTAAAGCAGGAAATATTACTCTACAGGCAAATTATATGTAATTTTATTCCATGTTAGCACAATTAAAATATCTACTATATAAAGCAGGAATTAGCTTGAAATTAATATGCTTGATATGTGCTCTGTAATTGGAAAATTATTTTTACATGTAAGCTAATGATGGAAATATTGAAAGCAAACAAAACTCAATCTATGGAACTTATTAAATTTCATACTGTAATCAAAACCAATAATTGAATCATTCATAAACACGAGATGAAATTTTTTCAGAAACTATTTCTAATAAAAAAAAAAAACAAGATTGACAGTAAACAGAAAAGAATGTGTCAATTGAATGCCGTGCGGATGCCCTTTATATGAAGCACAGTATATTGTCAAGAGTTTTATTTTTATAAATTTCCCACATAGTAAAAATATCATGGTGTTCTTGAAGTAGAGAAAGCAATAAAATTGTCAAATCATGGTTATATCTAGTACCAGTAGTAAAAATGTACAGTATTTAATGAATTGTCAAGCTTGCACACATTGTAAGCTGCAAACAAAAATTGTATAAAAAAGTGCAATGATATCTAAATCTAATTTTATGAATTTTGGTATGTTTATTGGAATACGGGTAAGATATATTTTCAAACCATGCTCAATAATATATACAAATGATTTACTGGCACATTAAATTTAGGGGTACCCCATTCAAGCTGCTCTCAAGCGGTCAGAGAGCATGGAATTAATTCAACACTCATTTCAACATTCTTGGAATGTGCTAAAACAGTGTATGAATTTTTTGGCAGCAATAAGTGTATTTTTTGTGTGTGAAGGAACCTTGGATGTTAGTTTAAATTTAATTAAATGTAATATATCGATGGAAAGATAGCAATATGTGGAAATAATGACTACTATTACCAAATCTGTTCATTTGAAACTATTAAATGGTGATCATTTTGCTCCTAGGTCTGACACCAACCTTATTAAAACATGAACAGTACTCAAGGTTAGGAAATCACAGGAATGCTCCCTTATTTACAAAACATGAATATGTGAAAATGAAACTATAAACTGGTGTTTTCATCCAATGTACACAACAAATTGACAAACCAAGGACAAGTACCACACCTTTTTAAGAAAGATAAAACTTCACTGATAGTTGTAACTTAGGGAAAGTATGACTGCACTGGTCAGTCTTACCATACTCAGGACCCTCGATGGCCAATAGGCCATATTAGTATTAGTAAGGTATATCAAGTGCCCTTGTTTAGCATTATACATAATGTAGTTATAAAATAGATGACACGCTGGAAAATCAGCAGACATTGCATGTATGGAATTGAACTACTCTAGCTAGTAGTTTTGTCTGAAGCCGGCCTTTAGAGTGTCACAATAACAGGTAGAGAATACAAACTGAACAAAGAGCGGAGGGCACAGGTCATACAACGTACGTTGCAAACCGAATTTCTACAGTTATTTAAACAATGACAACGTGCCACACTGATCAAAGAATACCTTTTTCAAGAGTTTTAAGATAGTAAGAGTTTTTAATTATAATTATGTAATCAATCCTGACATATTAAAATAAGGAATTATTTAGTTACGTCAAACTGGTGTACACAATCACTGGCAACTTGCTAGTGTTTACAGTTCAGTGATTCAACAACCCGGCGTAATAAACAGTTAACTTCACACATGATATACATACAATTACAGTCAATTAAATATTTCTATTAATTAACCCATACTACACAGCTTTAGACATTTCAGAGACATCCGTAAATTAACTCCCTGTAATCTGGAAATTTTCAGACAGAATATGGGGTGAACACACAGAGCTGTCACTGAAATGTGACAATACAAACGAACACAACTTCACTTGATCAAGTCAACCGGCCGTAAAAGCATTTCAACAGTAACCTTGTTGCGACGTTGCTGACAAGGAGAACGTGTTCATATAATGTTGTAACGCTGTCACACACTCAAAAATATTTTTGTTGTTTAGACATCGCCTACTACGAGTAACACGATGTTTTCTTGTCACCATGATACTGTTCAAAGTTAAACTTCAACAAGTAAAGTAACAAATTATTCGACCCCGTCCCCGGCAATCAAAAACAAGTCTGGAGTGTTGATTTCGTGAGCAATACAATTCAACAGTTTCTAGAAAAAAGTCCTACCAATATGACTGTTTGGAAGTGTATATCTATTGGTGCAAGTAATTGTATTGAAACTTACCGTTAAATGAACAAATATCTGAGAATTTCCAACGCTTTCGCCTAGATTCCAAAGTAAGCTCAAAATGTCCGCTAGAGTAATAACAACAGTGTAATGGGAATATCACGTGAATGTGACGTCATGAAAAGGCACTCTCGGTATTCCTTGCCTGGACAAACCGCATGATGGCGCCCGGAGTAACTCGCATCAGATCGACAGTGATAATCACAATTTTATAACTATAATCATATATGACGTGAAACATATTTGTATTACAAAATATATTAATAGCCGGTTTACGATGACAGTGGTGAGAATAGCTTTTCCGGAAATATTTTTAGCACATCCATATTTGGACAACATTCCCAGTGGAATCCAAGGGACACACCCACACACATGTGTTCACACACCTAGTGACACATAGGTCAAATGGCAAGTAAACACCAGTGTACAATGGTTGGCAGTTTCCCCAACTATTATCGGTTCATTCAATGTTAAAGATAAAAAAATACCATCAAAACATCAATGACCAGACATAGGTATATATAAAGTTCTTTAGTAAAACTAATGTAATTAATAAAAAGTACCGGGTACTCGTAGTTCTTTGTATATAAGCCATAGCAGGTGGGTGTTTCAATAAATGAGGTTCATTTCCTCTTAGTAGGAAATGAAGCACTTTTCTATGAGCAAGATGCGTTCACAATTACTTGTACCACTGGTATTTAACATAGTCTCATCTATGTCATTCACTTCAATTAAACCATATAAAATGAACTGTATCTTTCACGCTAGGATATTAGACACATACAATAATGCTGCTGTGGTACAAAATTCCAATTATTCATTGAACTAATGAACAATATGGAACTGAAAATAATATGAAAGCATGCAAAGCATAATTAATTTTGTAACAGTATACTTCATTGCACAATATTCACTAAAATTGCTCAATACAAAATGTGCAATACACTTTTCATTAGAATTTTGGTCCAACGCAAAATTACCACAACTTACCACACAGTCATGCGACTCATTATCATATTTATCACCTCAAAAACGTGCTGACAACCATAGAGGGCGTGGCAGAACAGACCAGTTGTGGAAATTTCGCATCAACGTGAAAGATTCTCCAAACTTATTCTTTGAGGAATTATCAGTTAAAATTCATATTACAGTCATAGAGTACTTAAACTGAAAAAAAAATGTCTGCATGTACACTCGAACCTGTTTTAGTATTGCAACAGTACCATCTCATTATTTTCTGGACAAAAATTATTTCATGTACAAGTTGGCGATCAATAAAAAAAAATAATCCAACCTTCATATATAAAGAACACCTGTCAATAAAGCCCAATTTAATTTAAACTCCCTTGGGTGGTTACTATACACAGGTTTGATAGTAGTAATTTTTGTGAATTTCGAAAGTCAGTGAAATTTACAATAATTTTGTAGAAATGAAAATTCCCCGGGGTCCTAAAGACAGTTACATCAACATTCATTTTGTCATCACACACACCATTAAATCATTAAAACAAAAATTAAACAGTTTACAGTCAGTCTCAACAAATAATGCACACTGTATCAGACTTTGAGTATCTTTATTAATAGTACTTTTAAAATCATAACTAGTTAGATCATAAAATAATTTTTTCTTTCCCATTGGCAGATTTTTGAAATATGGCATAGGAACATACACTTTCATTGCATCTAAAATGTAAATATAAATTTGGTTTATACCAAAACTGTCAAACATTATTAGCATAAAGTGGTAATGATGCACAAAAAGTTATTTATGTACAGTATATATAAAGCACATTCAACATAATTGTTGAATAGTATAGAATTAAAATGGATAAAAATTAACAATACTTTATTGCATTATATTGTATCATGATTTAGTTTGCAATCAAACTACACAATTTAACTTGCTATAAATATACTTAAGTATAAAAAAATTGGATGATTGAAATCAAAATGGTCTAAAATATTAATTTGTTGAGAAATTATTTGTGATCTTTATAGAATTTGTGTCCATGATTTGTAAGTTTGCAACTTCACTGAAAAGCTTGACTGACTTTAACTTTTTTGGTCGATGCAGAATTATTGTCAACATCATCTTCTCTACATCGTTTCTTTCTGTCTTGTGTTGAATCCTTTTCACCTTCGGAGCATTGAGATTTAGGTGGTCCTGAGGCAGTCACCTGCAGTGTATCTATTACAGGTACCGGTAATTGTAGTGTAGCTATCATAACATCGTTCAGTTTTCTTTTCTTATTTTCTCTAATGATTTCATCATCTTGTTGTAAAGGCCGTTTTCGTTGGTTAAGCGCTGGGTTTATTAAACATAGGTCAATATCCTTGCGTGAAGAGTCATCAAGACTTTGTATGAGTTGATCTTGATATTTTGGTTCTTCAAGTTTTGGGAAAGGCTGACCATAAACATAATGTTGCTGAATTTGCTTTGCTCTTGCAAGTTTCTTCAAGTAGTCTTCAGGGCTTAATTTAATGACAGGTTTTTCTTTCAACTCTTCTTCTTCATCTTTATTCCACAACCTTTTAGGAAGGCCTTTTTGCTTTCTCTCCTTGTTCTCTTCTGTCCTCTTTTTCTTTAACTCTTCTTCTTTCTGCTTTCTTCGTTCCTGGTCTCTCTTCCTTTTTTTTGCTTGCTTATTTTTGATCTGAAATTGATGTGTAAAAATATATTGAAATTGAATTGGTTGCTATGGGCATGGCTGTGATTATGGTTGTTAGAGATAAAAATTAACATTTTCTACTATCCACCATGTTGATGTTTTACAACAATGCAGTTGATAATACTATTTCATATATATTATATGCTTTATAATACAATATATGTGGTATTACTGGTAAATTATGCAACTAATATGAAAATTGCTCTGGTTGGCAAGGATATGCCCACCTATTTTTTCCATATTAGTAGCATATTCACATTTTTAAAAGTTTGCTCATAATTCCAAATATGCATATTAAGTTACATTACCACACAACTCCAACTGATTAAAAAATTCCAAAGATTTTCACCAAAAGAAAGAATGGCAGTTATCCCACAATGAACACATCTTATTGAGCTCTATCAATCACAACATGGCTGATAAATTTTAGGGAGTAATAAAGTTGCTAATAACTAAATATGCAAATGAGTACTTAATTGAAAGGCAGTGGTTGTCGCACCATGTTTGAGACTCATATTGATGTACACAACACATGTAAAATACAATTCGAACATGTGCTGTGGGAAGACCACTGTCCTTTGAGATTAACTTCAATATTGCATTCTCCATTTCATTCAAATATACTGGTACATCAATCACATTTCTTCAAAGTTTAGTCATATTAGTAATATTTGAAATGTATTCAAAATTAACGTGACAACTTTGAATTAAGCTGATCAATTATGACACTGAGAGGATACTTACATATTTTGCATTTCTTTTCCTGTAAGTGTCATCCGGATAAAATTCTTCCAGTGTACGTTTCCACTGGTAGTAAAATTCTACACACTGATTGGGAGACCTGGTTTTCACCTGTAATGATTTGAAAAATGTATCTACTTGGTGAAAAGTGAAACAAACTTCAATAATATATCTTAGATGATTAAATGAAATTCTTAGAACCAATACTGTAACTTCACTTACCCAATCAGATATCTTAAAAAATATTTTCCCAAACTTGAGTATGGCTTCTTCAAACAGCCTGACTTCATACTTAAACCACAGATTACCAACAACTACAATAAAAACATATATTATTTCATTAGAAAGTATACCTGATAAAATTAATAATATTCATACTATTTAATTGATAGGGTCATAATATGACAACTTACCACGAATCTGTGAATCTAAGACTCGTAAATCTTCTGCATCATCATTTGTCAAGGCATTCACATTCACATCACTATTTTTTGACTCATCAACAGGCAGTATGACATTGTTTTTGTTTGTCAAATCTTCAACTACTGTTGAAGCAGATTCCTTCTTAGGTATTTTGCATCCAGCGAATATTCTTGATAGGTGTCCATGTACTGAAATACAAAAATACAAGTTAAGATCAACTGACCATAACATGACAAATTTTCAAGAAATACAAGGAATTTTGATCAGCTGACCTAATTAAACATGAAAAATATTGGTTTCAGTAAAAGATTACTTTCAACAATACTTACAGTCATCAGCATTTGTTAACTTGTCACCATCACCGGGTTTCCAGATAAGTTCACTTCCAACACCATGTTGTCTACATTCCCCATTAATCTGACTTCTACCGGTAGGTACTGTGAAGATGCGTTAGTTAGATTTTGACTTGAGTACTTAATATTAATTTACTATTATTATACACAGACACTCTGTCCCTTAAAAAATTTTCATACACAATAAAAAAATATAATTCAAAATCAATACACCAATATCTTAAAATATGCAACATTCGCAAAAATTAAAAAAAAATAAGAATGTCACATTATATTTACTGTATTTTCTCTATTAGTAGCACATACAATAAATAAGAAAGGTGTTTATATGATCCTAATAAGTCACATTTTAATAATCTCAAGGATTGAGCTTCAGAGTTTAGAGGATGTGTCATTCATTTTCAAGTAAAAGTTTGATAAAGTTGTCTTGGCAAATAGTATTGAGAAAAAACGGTATTTTTTTTTCAAAGGGCACCAAGACAAACTCCTTGAGCATCAAGGCAATTGCCTTCAATACCTCTGTGAGGTTTAAGCCCTCGTATCCAGTATATAATAAATGTTATTGTTGGTTCACATATGTTTTATTGAAGATAAACTTCTAATACATGTAATGCAAATAAAGTATATATATATGGGTTGTTAAGTGCCTGTTGAGTTCAATGTGGGTGAACTTACATAATTCTGGTATATCAGCATGTTTATTTCGAACAGATATAGACTGCTGAACTGAAGGTTCTTTACTGACAGCTCTGCAATGGAAAAAGAATAAAATAAATAATAGAATAGAAAAGTGGGGATAGATACAAAATTATTTAATCATTTTTTTATAATATCTTGCTTAAATATTACAGCTTGCATAATTTAAATTTATATTTATACCATGCAGTTTTGCTAAATATTTTATTTCATAAATAATTTTATCAATAAATGTATCTAATTAATACATGATTATAGTGTTTGCTTTCTTTACAATGCAATAGACCTATCATAGAGAATATCGTAATCCTTTTATAAGTTGGACCACAAACAAATAATTATTTTTAGAGATGGATGAATTGTTAAAATTATATTTGTTGAGTGATTGAATCATAATTTTATTTTTCAATAATGAGAGGAAACATCAAATGTATCAACAACCATAGACTTTTCCTACCAGGTGGATGAATTGCTAGAGGAACAACAATTTTTTTTTTCAATTGAAACTAGGTGGTCCAACTAACAGAACGATTATGGTAAACCTGATGATTTTCAACATTTAATTAATATATTATTACTATATAATGTACGAGGTGCATCTAAGTAGTGGGTGGCTGACACAATGATACAGAGCTTTTAAAAAAGCAATTAATCACCATTGTCATATATCTTTATAATAATAGAATGTAATATATTTAATAATTACGGTAAATAATATTTTTATAACATAAAAAAATAAGATTAATGTCCTAGGAATTAAAAATTCATATAGTCAGTGGCTACTGGAATAGGCAGGTCGAGAACATTGGTTTGATTGCATCAATGTTTCATACTTTATTAGCTATGAGAATGTGGAATGTAGTAACTGTATAAAGATCTGTGTCATACCACTTGAATGCAGTGAACAGTTGAGCAGCGCCCTCATTGGCCAAAATTTATTAAAAAATGTGCACCACTTTACTTTCTTATATTTAATGGTATATGTAATTTTTGTTTGCTTTAAAAAAATCACGAATGAGTTACAAAGTTTTATTTAACAAGTTTCATCTGTATTTTATTGTTATTTATGTCATCTAATGCACCCTGTGCTGAAATGCAATAATTTATGTATAATCAATTAGTATGCTTTTTTTTTGAATTAACAAATATTTTAATCTAGTTAGTGCTTTTACCTTAAAGACCTAGGCTTTTACTATACTATTTATACTAATTATTGTTATTATTATTATTATACTAAGATTATATAACACTATACAGTGTAGATTCAACACCATAAGTGATATACATATACTAGTAGCAATGGAGCATAACATGAGTAAAACCTACGCTAAGGTTTGTTGATCTGCTTCCACTACATTGTGACTGCTCTGTGTTGATGATAAAGTAGACACACTAATACAACATGGACACCCTTTGGGGTGGTGTTTTTTTGACCAAGATGAACGATTTGGTCTAAAACTGTAATTACTGCTATTGCTGGGAGACCTCACTGCCTGCTGTAATTGTCTATCACTATCTAAATAATCTGATCCTAAAAATCAAATGTAACAAAAATAAAACTAAAACATAAATATAATTAAATTAAAAAAACATGATCAAAATAAAAATATGAAATAATATGACTTTTAAAATAACCAAATTGTAAATAAATAAATACAATGTCAATGAAAAAATTAATAAATAAATAAAATATAAATGCACGAAAGTGAATAATTAAAAAAATTAGCAGTATCAGGTACATACTAGCATATAATTGCACCTACCTTTCTTTGAGGTTTCAGGAACCTCTTGTTTTTCAGACTTTTGTTTTCTACTGTTCGGTTTTGACTTATTCACACTTGCATTGCTTTGTTTCATTTTATGGATCCTTTGATGTCCACAACATGCTCTCATAGATGTGAATATTTGAGGACAATGAGAACAAGCAAATGAACCACTTGGAACAGTTTTCTCTTCCGAAGTTTCTGACAGCACATTAGGCAGATTACTATTTGTTGGTTTAGAACTACTTGCAGTGATGCTCTGCTGCAATGGAGGTTGAAAGCAGCTTGAAATATTGGTGATAGTGCTGGAACCAATATTTATTAGTCTACATTTATCCATCTCCATCAATTTCACTAAATTGGGTCCATCTATTTTCTCTCTTATTGCTACAGTTTTATTTGCTCCGGGTAATGGAACAGCAGGACATTGCATTGTGGATGTATGTTGGCCAACAGTCACTGTATCAGTCCTACTAAGTTGCATTGGGTGAGTGTTCTCTGGTACTGAATCAGTTGAGTTAACTGTCTCTCTAGAGACCATTCCATTTGTGACAACAGTATCACTAACACTTGGCAGAGTAGACACAGAATAAATTGGTTTTAAGGCAAAATAATTATTTTTTAGTCCAACGATTTGCAGTAAATTAGGCATCTTGCCTTCTTTTGTAGCAGATATTAATATATTCTGGCTAGTAGATGCCTGTTCAGATGATGTATCACTAGGTTTTGAAGTAGACAGAGAATGATTTTGCTGCAGAGTACACTGACTGTTATGTGTAGCAATAACTGGTGATGTTGATTTAGTTTTAGTCAAATTAACTCTTCGTAATAAATTTGGCAAAGCTCTTGCCCTTCTCATACGTTTATTGGTTGCTGGAGGTTGATTATCAAAATGTTGCATGTTAATGTATTCAGGCCAGTAGCAGCTAACAGAGAAGTTGTACCATTCACACTTTGTTGCACAACGGAAGTGGTAATTTGGGGAAGAGCACCAGAATGAATTGTAGGACGACCACTAATTGTCTTTGACATAACCTCATCCATGTTAGTAGCAGGTGGATTGACTGCAGGCTCTCCAGCCACAGGTGTGACGGGTACCAACTTATTTGTAGATATAACAGCAGAAACCTCTGTAGATTGTATGAATTCTGGAACGTTACAGGCAGCACTGATTTGTGTTGAAGCAGCAGATGCCAAATTTTGCTTAGGACTTGGTGGAGGTGTTGGTAGTACCATGCTGGCAATTGATGCAGCAGAACCATACACTGTTTGTGCCAAGTGGCTCTCAGCAACAATAGGCTCTGGGGTAACTTCAGAGACCATATTTTGTGTTGGCATATTGTTGCCCTCTTGTATGTTATTAGGTGATGGTATTGAAACTTCATTGGCAGACAACATATGATTATATGCATGCACATTTAACAACCTTCTTGTTCTGAAGTTTGCATTGCAGTTAGGTTCAGGGCAACAATACATATTCTTCTGATGTACACCCTCCAAGTGTTTTTTCCTGTTGAAGACATAAATTGAAGACAATTTTTGTTAATTTTGTTAATCTAGGGACAGTTTTGTTCATTTATATTCATTACAACAAAGGTAAGAAAGGCCCATGACAAAAATGTAGCGAAAAACATTTGCAAATACTAGTATACTAGTATACTCACAAATGATCACGTCTTCTGAATTTCTTTTCACAATCATCACACTGAAACTTTTTATTATCATCATGAGTGAGTAGATGTTTCTTCAGATTACCAGGATTTAAGAATAACATCTTACAAATGCCACAATGATGAAGCATCACTTGGTCATTGTCATCACCAAAAAGCTGAAGGTTTCTATTCTGCTGTCTCAGCTTTTCTCTAGCTTCACCAACAGTAATAATAATTGCACTATGTTTATTTGATCCTGAGATTCTTGTCATTCCACTATCTATGGAGGAAGCTGGAGAAAAATAATCAGTACAATACATATGGTGGCTCAAACTGTTTAAACTAGCACTGTCATCTGAACTGTGAATGTGCATATTCTACAGTTCAATTATTGTTATTCTATTATCTGCTGGTTGGTCTTTAGCTAGATTGTACCCACACTGCACTATATGCAGTTCAAAACATAAACACACCAGGCTCAAGGTCGATTCAAATTTAGAAGGTATGCCCAAAATAATGTGGCCTTGACATAATTACTATCCACAAAAAGATCATACACCTGCATAATATGATCACTTAAAATGTGATGAATAACAGATTAAATAGGGGTAGTCGTTGTGCCACGCATGCGCGAGATATATGAATCTCATATAAACAAAGATGGAAACTTTGACTGTTGTGTCACCGACAGTCACCGGCAGTAATTAGTTCACCTCGTGCCTAGGTCAAACCTTATACTTGTGATTTCCATTAGAAGAGCGCATTGTATTGTGGAAAAATCATTGTTTATCAACACAAATGTCGCACTTGCGCAGCGCGACGACCACCGTAAATCAATGTGACTAGAACTTGATAAAATAGAATCATTACATGTACACAAATCATTTTCATTCACTGTGTGAGTATTCAATAAAAAAAAACTTGAGATGTTCTAGGTTTTAGTATGAATATAATATTAACTTACCTGTACTTAAATTTATGCTGTTAACCTGAGTGTTAGCGCTATTTGACGTAGTAATATAAATACAATTACTCTGGGAATCCATCTGAATAGGAAATTATAAAGATTTTACATAAAGAGTTACTGACAAGCCGACGTTTTGCTCCCAATAATATTGAACTAAACCATGGAACCATGAAAAAAGTGCTGGCAAACATGCACAATATTTAAAGTTTCGTCTGCTAGTGCTACAAATACTGAAGGAGATAGTGTAATACCATGAAAGATTACTGTTCGTCGCTGCCAAACGAGGGCGCAAAATTGGACAGCTGCAAAAAGTAATATAACAAAACTATAATTCGCTTATCACGTAAACCATTAAACTCACCTTTGAGCAAAAATTGTATTTTTACATTACAATTTTAGTCGTGTTGCACGTCGAAGCATTCTGCATTCGAACAAGTTGTTTATGTGAATGTGAAAGCGAGGCTGAACCTCTTTACCGTTCCAATTGCGGAGTATCGAATGCAAGAAAGCATATAGTCCCGTCATTATTGTTTTTTAACATATGCATGTCTGTCTGATATAGTTATGTAGAGTAAAAAGGGATAATTTAAAATATTTGCAATTACTTTGTTATTAATGGTTAGCAGTCTTGCGAAAAAAATATTGTACAGAAGTAAAAAACATGTCAAGCGCCCTCTATGGCATGTTTTTGCCATTGATCTCATTCAAGTGCCTATTTCACAGATACCATACAATATCATATCGGTAGTCTCTATGATATTAGCAAGAAATTATAATTCCGTGATATTAAATATTCATAGTTGCATTAACATGACACAAACTTTATTACAATAACATCTCTATAAACGAAACTATTTTTAAAATGAAATTTTTTATTTAGATAATTACTATTTCCAAATGTTAATAATGAGATTGCACTCAACAAATATACCCGTTGTTCAAGCTCAGTGAAGCTATAAATATTATTTATTATGAAAAAAGAAATAACTAATAACAAAGACAATTTCTAAAACTGAATATTTTGACATACTGGGGTAGATATAATATTACCACGCCCTTCAATATAAATGCGTATTGTAAGTGTGTACTAAAGTGCCTTCTTATAACTGCTTTGGCTGAGAATTAGCCCAAAAATGAAATAAAGTACTAATAACATTCCTAATGATTTTTGCAATCATGTATACACGTAACTTGTTAACAATAACTTCTTGTTCACATATTTAAAGTGGGCAAATGAATGAAAGGCATTAATATAAATTAATAAAGCCATACTTGGGCAAAATATTTTGGAAGTTGAAATACAATAATATATTTGTTACTGTTTATTTTAGTAGTAAGTTTATTAAATTAACTATATCAGTGTGATCTTTTGTAATTATAGTTTTGTTTGTTGATATCTTGATATTTTATACTTTATTATGAAATAAGACTGTTGAATTTAACATACGGCCTAAATTAATTGGTTATTAATGTGCGCTTATAGTGTTCCTAACGTTTTCTTTCCTTGAATATCTACCTCTACACCACAAACATATCGTTATTATTGTTGTTGTTTGTTTCTCTTTATACTAGAAGACCTAACTGAACCAAGATTCAGATTTTCAGAAAGTCAACCATCTTTCAATAAAACTCCCATAAAATAAATAATAACAAACAAAACCGGATCAAGAAATTGCAAAAGTATTTTTTTCCTAAAAGAATTCAATTCAAAATTTCAGTTATTGTCGTCCATAAGAGTACCCTGTTCCCACAAAATCGGAATAGTTTTGCGTTGTGAACGTGCAGTGCTAATAATTTGTATGTAGTACCATCTTTTTTAGCTCCATGGTAGTACGTAACCATGGTATACAAATTCCGTGGTTGTCATTGTATAGACGCGGTGTTATTATTTACAACAGTTTGCATTGAATTGAATTTATATTAAATTATTATAAAACACATGAAATTCTAATGTAGTAATCCTCTTTCACCGTCTATGGAGGATATGGTAACCAAGCAACGCTATTACTGTTTATCTGACCTTTCAAACTCTGAACGTCGCAGCAAGTCTGGTCACATGACCATCAGATACCCAATCGCGTATCACAACAGTATTTTCAAGATGGCGGAGATCGCTCTGTGTGAATGAAAACAAGTGTTCAAAGTACCCGGTAAGTTAGTCGCAAAGTCTTTGTATAACCTATGTCTATATGAGATTATCTCAAATCAACGACATTCATTTCAATTGTTAAATTGTACATCATTGAGATCTATGCTGGCAAACCTATGTTGGTAGTTGCTTTTCAGTTCGCCAGTATTCTGCATTGACTTTTTGATTTCTGTTCGACACAGAGGAATTCAACCGAATCATAATTTTTGACAATCAACACTTAACAATTCCTGACATACCACAGGAAGCGACAGACTCGGTATGTTATCGTCTGGACTACAACCATACAATCACCAATTACAGATTGGGATATTGGTAACCATATTCAGTCTATGTCGCTGTCAGTAGTCAAGTCGTACTGTTTTTGTAATTTCGAAATGTTCACGACTGTACTAGCTTGTTTATTACATAAACCTTAGTCAGTAGCGGTGTACTCATAGGTAATCATTTCGAGGTCTACAACAACTAAGTAATAATGTAGTTCAGTGTGAGGATTTTAGGAGCCTTTGCCAAAATGTCCGGATTACACTATAAAAGTGACAATTACATATGATATATGATTATTTGCATGTTTTGCTTTTGCGACCCCAATATATTAGCCTTGCACCTGTTTTTTTCTCTCTCGTAAAGTGTGCGTTTGAGTGTGTATTCATTCATGTGAGAAATTATTTAAGTTAAGTTCTTTTAATGGCTTCATTTTAAGTAGCTACAGAAAGTAGACAATGACATTTCAAAGTATAGTTATTTACATAGTGCATGAGGTACATGCAGTGTAAAGCCTCTCTCCCCACCTCTGAAAATGTTCTGTCTGCCCTGGGACATCAATGTAGCATGTGAGACATGTTAGGTAATTTTCACAATGAAAGCCTTTTTGCGAGAATAGACTATCTTCATGATAATAGAAAACTAACCTTGGCTAAAAACAAACTAAGAACATACAGACTTTTCAAACAAGATTTAAAAATTGAAAATTACCTAATTAATATGCAGAACCATGGTCTTAGAAGGTTAATTGCAAAATTCAGGACAAGCAACCATGACCTTAAAATTGAGAAAGGCAGACATAATAATGTGCGGCTGGATAAAAGAACATGTGATATGTGCAGCCAAAATATAGTTGAGGATGAGCAACATTTTGTAATGAAATGTCCAGCTTACAGTCACCATAGGGACAAATTATTCCTGACTGCACAAAATAAAATTCCAAATTTTGATAAAGAAAATAGTCAGAATAAATTCATTTTGATTATGGCAAACCATACTCTAGCACCAGCCTTAGCTGTCTTCTTAAAAAACAGCTATGGAACAAAACAGCAACAACTATCAGTGTATTAGGCCACATTCTGTGTTCATTCTATATTCTGTATCCACCATTGGCTGCAAATTGTATTTTTTTGTTTTTGACTTGTTTTTATTTTTTGTTTTCTTTTTTAGATTGTAGTTTTTTTTTTTTAATTTCTTTCTGTAAGACCCTTTTTATCCTTTCCTAAGGATTTTATGCGTCTAATAAAAATATATTAACAAATCATACAAGAGCAGCATGTGTGCAGGTTATTCATCTAACCAAAACACAACTGAAATCAAACTGCAACTTCAATACTGTGATTTTGGAATTCATTGTATTTTTCTAGCTAAAATGTTTTCTATGTTTTTATAAATGTTATTTAGTCTGATATTATAGACTGATTTTATTCAATGATAACATGAAAATGTTAACATGAAAATTGTAGTTAAGAGGGTTAAATAGAAATTCATATAGAAATACAGCACATTGTTCAGCGAATTAGTTTTATCTTTTGTGAAAGGAAGCATTAATAATGAATGGCAAGAAGTATTATTTTTAAATGAGAAAATTGAGTAATTCATGAACAGCCATTTCATGAAAGCCATTCACTAAACAGGAAATCAATAGTTCTTTAATTTTAAAATAAGGATGTAGAGGTATTATATACTTCCGACGATACAAGGATATTACCCGGTCGATATTACGGGTGTGTGATATCTTATTCTTCATGTGAACTCTAACTGCCAAGAAATTGAAATTTTGCACAACAAATATTATGAGATTATTTGCAACATCCAATCACATGCAGTTGTGAAAATACTGCC